GTCCCCGCCGGCCTTGGCCGCGCCGTCGCTGCCTCTGGCCGCCCAGGAGGGCGCCTTCCCACGGCCGGAGCGCAGTCCCGCCGGCCCCGCGCCGCCCTCGCGCTGTCCCCCGAGGCCACGGCTGCGCCTTCTTTTCCCGGGGCTTTTTGTCTTTTACACTGGCCGGGTTTATCACTTCCGACCTGCCTGGCACCAACTGTTGCAAGTTCAGTAGTAACTGCTGCTCTGAACTTCTCGGTGGAAACTGCTCCTCCCAGGAGCCTGCTCAAGCTGCAGACATAATGCCCGGATGCCGGCGGAGGCGCTCGGCCCGAAGGTTTTCAAAGGTGAGGCCGATACACCTTAGGAACTCATTGGAAGACTCGGCCCACGTCCGTAAACCCAGTCAAAAGTCGAATCCAAGCGTTTCAAGCTTAAAAAAAAAAAAGAGGTTTCTACTATCAAGGCTAATCAAAACACAATTCGAAAAGAGTTTCAGAAGATTGTGCTAAGTAAGAGTGGTATTTCAAAAGAAGGTTAAAATTAGAAATATAAGCAGGCTGTTGAAAATTGCCCTATTTTCGGATTTAAGGAAAGGACTCGAGGACAAATCTTCATGAGGAAGGGGAATTCCAGATACCTTCTGGGATTATTAAATCACTTAACTCTGCACAGGGCTCTCACTACCTGTTTTCATTTCAGCAGATTGCTGGTTTTAATTACTTGGGAGACAAAGAAGAAGAAAGATGGGGCAATGAAAGGAGAAGAGGGAGAGGGAAGTAGAAAAAAAAAAACACAAAAAAGATCCCCCCAATAATTCTATAATACTTCTACACCTAATATCCTACGATTCTGGCCTCTTATCTTTGGGGTTTAAGATTAAGGACAGTGTATTCCTGCTTTTCCATTATTTTAATTTAAACTTGAAGGCTTAATTGTGACTTAGGTAAAGCAAAGTCGTTAAATACTTGACATCAAGGATCTCATTGGTGTATTGATTTACAAATACACCAAAGACACTGTCTTTTCAAAGGCAGTGGTCCTGGTTTTACGAACCAGGCACTTGTGGAATGGCAGAATGGCTTACCTATCCATAAAAAGGTGGATGGATAGGCCTTTTGGGTAGGAGTGGTTTGGGACATATGGGTACAAAGGCACCTTTGTCCTGCATCTCTCAGTCTTAAAATCAATGAATGATCTTTCCTGGATTCTCAGAAGTTCACAATATTTTTCATTGACTTAAGAGAACTGCAGATGGGCAAGCTATTAAGTCAGACGTATTGTTTCTGTGTATTTGATACTGTACTGGGTAATGAGGGGAGAGGATGGATATATAAAAGATGGCTCACATGTGAGATAGCAGGACCCCTTGTAACACCAACATGAAACTTCATTTCTTCACTTCTAGGTGGTGGGTTTGAGTCTTTGGTAGCTTTTAACCAAGTCACTACTGTGCTTAGAGGACGCATGTGTCATAAAAATTTCAAATAAGTGAATTATGTGTAACTCTAAATGAGTAATGAATGTGGGTTTCAATCACTCCACATAATTTGTTTAAAAACACTGTGAGGGTAATACTACTTCAGCATAATCTGTAGAGTCTCGGATGTAGAGATTCAAGAGAGTCCTAGAGGCTTCCAAAATCAATTCTAAATTAAGGTATAGAGTCTCTAACCTGAGGTATGGAATTGGAAGCCCATAGAAGTAAGGTGACTACCTAGCTGGTAGGTAGAAAGAAGGCTACAAAAGTCAGAAGGCAAGCTTCCCGATTCTCAACTTGATGCTATTTCCATTACTCTAGTTCAAATTCCAATTTCTACTTCACTTATTTTACACTGGGAACCAACACAGAGTTGACCCCTCACAAAAGCATTTGAAGGGATAGGAGGACAATAGTAACTATCATTTATTGAGTACCTACTATATGTTTAGCATTGTAGTATTTTTTTTTTTGGTCTCCTATCAGGTCATTAGAAAAGTCATGACATATTTTTGCATAGAAAATCATGAAAAAAAATATGTCATGACTTTTCTGATGACACAATAAATAACAATGTGGTATTATTTTACTACATTTTCCAGATTAAGGACTCAAAACTCAAGAGTAGTTAAATATATCCATTTAAGATAATATAAATTTACATATTATTTTTTAAGTTGACCAGAGAGAGACGGGGAGAGTAGAGAGAAGGAAAATGAGAAGGCAAACTGCTGGGTCCAGGAATGTGGAAGTCCAGTATCTTTAACCACCATGCTACCTGCCAGTCCAGGACCAGAATTTTAACAGATTTTCCTCCCGACTCCTCAAAATTATCCCATGAGTAGAAGCAGTACTCTGTAAGCAAAGAGTTTATTTTGTGTGAGCTGACCCATGCACAGTTCAGCAATTGAACAAACATTTTGACTCCTGTCATGTCAGGTGGTGTCCTAGGCACTAAGAATACACAGATAACTAAGACATAATTTCTGACCTCTATTGCTTTTGGAAGAGGGCTTTTTTTAGCTGTAAACTCTTTCCTTTGGGAAAGGTCAAGCAATATAACTTAGCACTGAAGAAATCAGCATCTGAAGACTAGAGCGATCAATAAATTGGAATACTGGTTCCATCACTTAGTGGCTGTGTAGCCTTGGCACATGAACTTTTGGTCGTTGGTTTCCTCCTGGAAAAGAAGATGATAGTCTACAAGAGGCTGGTTACATGGCCTAGTGGTTAAGGAAGCCAGATCCCACATGGCTGACTGAGCAGTTCAAATCCTAGTCCCATTAACTTGAAAACACACCAGGTGAATATGCATGGGTGCCCAAAATCCCAACAGGGTGGAGATATCAGGAAGAAGGGATTTTAATGTGACCACACCCCACTGTGGGGGTACTTTCTCCCTCCCTACTCCATCTCTCTGACTTTGGCTAATGCATGCACCCTCTGGCTTATAAAAGGGGGGGAAAAAAAGGTCTACGGGATAGATTTTGTGTGAAGGTGAAATGAAACAACCCACCTATAGCTAGCAGCTGGCCATGAAATAGGGATGACATGAGCATCAGTCCTCATGGTTAGGCCTCCCTTAGCTCCTTACTTCTTGTTCAGTCTGCAGAATGACAGGAAATCAAGATACTTGAGTGTTTGGAGTCAATCTATGAGAGTGTCAAGCAATGAGAGCAATGACCTTGGCCCTTGAAAATGGTGTTCTCTGAGCCTTGTTCCCACAATGAGCACCAGATGGGAGAACAGGAGCACAGAAAAGGACTGTCAGAGAAGGGGAGTAGACTCTATATGAAAACCGTGGATGGGCTCATCAGTTTTCGATCAATTACTACCTACTGTCTGTTGAGCTGGAGGTGGCATGCAGTAGGAAAATGATCAATCAATGGAAGGATGAAATGGATAGGAGCTTTCTAAAGAAGAAAACATGCTAACACGAGACTATTTTTTTTTTTGAAGAGGTTTTTGCTATAGGACACGTGTGCTCGCCAGACAGAGAGAAACAGAAAGACAGAAAGTGAGAAATCACCCCCTGGGGGGATGGCTACACTGCAATCCCTTCTCCATTCTCCTCTTGGGATTTTGGGTACAAACGCACATGTGCCTGGCGTGAGTTTTAAGCCACCAGGTCCAGGACATGAACTGTGGTCGACTACATGGGAGTCCAGAGACATAGCCATTATG